GATACATATGAAAAAACAAAAGCTAGGCCTGAATTTACAAAATGACACATTTTCATTTGATCCTTTATATATAAATTTATTTTCTGAGACGTAATGATTGTTTTCAAATAATTTATCTTTTGTCTATCTATTATTTTTATTTTTATTTTTTTATATAAGTATTTGACGACTCAGGGTGCCTTTGACTAAAAGTCTATATACCATCGTGTAACTCCATTTTTTGAACGACGCAAGTAAAAATTTCAGACAGCTGTGCCGGTTAGTTTAGTTTTTATAACAATTAAAAGTTGACGAGTTTGTGCTTGTTTGCAATCATGAAAAAAGAGCAATATCGGTCTGTGATTCGATTCCTGTTTTTGGATGGGAAGACGTGTGAAGAAATCAAAGAAAAGTTGCATGCCGTATATAAGGACAACGTATCCAAAAACAGGAATCGAATCACAGACCGATATTGCTCTTTTTCCATGATTGCAAACAAGCACAAACTCGTCAACTTTCAATTGTTATAAAAACTAAACTAATCGGCATAGCTGTCTGAAATTTTCACTTGCGTCGTTAAAAAAATGGAGTTATACGATGGTATACAGACTTTTAGTCAGAAGCACCCTGAGTCGTCAAACACGGGTACTTATCAAACTGCCCTCGTATATTGTCATACATGTTCTATTGTTCACTGTTTCTCTTGATTTCATCTCACAATTGTCTGTCAAACTTCTTGTCTAATAACTTTCTTTTAAATTCCATGTAAGTGAACTAAATTTTTATATTAATTACTTTTATAATAATTGTATATTAATTTATTCATAATTGTACTCACATAGTAAACGGAACAGTATAATGGAACTTGTATAATTTACTAGTACAGTGTTAACAGCCTAATCTTGACAATTATGTAAGTTAACTCATGAAAAAAACTTTTCTTTAACAAATTATAAATATACATATATTCTCTTTTTGTTCTTGCTTAATTATTTTTAGTAAATCTAACAATTTGATGATTTACAAGATTCGACTTAAATTTGGATACTACCACCACGTTATTATGTATATTTGTACGCGCTATTATTATATGCAAACTTTATATTTCATCTTTTTTGTACTGAAGAGGACCCGAACGAGGGTCGAAACGTATACGTTTTGTTATTCATTTTATATAAAAAAAAAAAATACACACTTATAACTTGTGCTCGGCTCACATTGGCATTTTATTATATTGTTTTGGAATACAAAAAGATATTTAACTTACCTCTAGCGGAAATTGTTGATGGACAATTTCGCGTTTTTCGGTTGCGTGAGAGAGGAGCCTAATAGTATGGTAAATAACATATATTAAAAAGAAAGGTAATATGTAGGCTAACAGCTCTAACGACTCATAGAAATATTTTATTACATTGAGTAGATCCATGTGGCTAGTGTTTTGAAATAGCACGTATAATTTCGCGAAATGTAGAGGAGCGTAAATAAGAAAGGGAGAGGGCGAGAGAAAGAACGCTTAGGGCTGCGCAGAATAAAAGGAACAGGGAACAGAAAATAAGAATTTCAACCTATCAGAAATCATATACTGTGAAATAAACAGTGTGTATTCCATAGTATATGATTTCTGATAGGTTGAAATTCTTATTCTCTGTTCCCTGTTCCTTTTATTCTGTGTAGCCCTTAGAGACATACAAGATCATTGATAATGAATCACTTGGCCATCACTACGCCATTGGTAGATCTCTGTAGATCAGATCGAATTATAACGAGCGTCTCCTGTGTGTATTTCGGGAAATGGGAACAGAAAGACACAACTGTTGATAAAAGTTTGCGCCGAGGCTTCACACGCTATTGTGGAAATAAAGCGGACGCGACACATTCGATGCAACGTGTGCGTGTGTGATTGCTTCCGTTACAAAAAAAAATGTTGCCGGAAAACAAATTAAAAGTACATAGAATCGCTCGCTATAAACCATTGAAAATATCTGTACTGCTTCTGTTAAATTTTGCTTTCTGTATTCAGTTACCATCGGTTCTCTTTTTCGATTGTACGTGTGCATATACTGTGTATATAAAATCATCGTATGGAAAGTTATTTTCAATTTGTCGCTTTATCTATTACTACTCTATTCCGTGCAATGCACGTGCGCGCATGTATTTTTTCACGGAACAATTATTATTCTTATAAATATTTTTAGATCAAAAATAAAACAAAAAAGAGATATATCGTACGTTGTATTATTATCTCTGATGAGCTGAATGAATATGCGATTGCTAAGCTGTCAATTTCAAGTATCGAATAAATTTAATGTATGAATATTATTTCTCAACAAAATTTTAAATATTAACAATAGAGGAGAATGTCCTAAATCGGACCGTGTTCCAAATCGGACCTCTTTAATTTAAATAAATACCATTAAGCAGATTTGCGTACTATTTATAATATAAAGTCCTTATAAAACACCGAACATGTGACAGCAGTTTGGCAGTACTCTGTCCGTTCGTAGAATAGACGCAAATATGCATTTTTGGCTACCATGCAAACATTTTTTTAAAAAAGAAGATCCTTGTAAATGATTATTTAAAAGATGTTAAAAATTTGAACGATAATTGATTTAAGATAATTAAAGAGTGTAGAATTAAAAAATATCAAGAGTTTTGTAATTACTTTTGCGGTTTTATTGTAAAATTTGTTCCAATCGTTCGAAAGAACCCGTGTCCAAATCGGACTTATACAAAAAACACTAAAAAGACGAGTAAGCCAGCTAATTCATCGAAGAAAGAAGGTTCGCCACAACCTGGTTGTAGTACTAATGATCGAGCGACCAGATCTGGTCTAAGGAACATTAAATAAATAAAATATCATGTGTTATCAGACTCTGATTGATACAATTTTTTATTGATTTTAATTCAAATAATATAAACTGTATTTTTATCTTTGAGTCTAAAATTGCTCGTTTTTACTCAATACTAACAAAAATTAATTAAAATATTTTAAAATTCTATCTAAAAGTCCATAAAAATAGGAGAGGTCCAATTTGGAACTCACAGTTACAAATCGGACCAGAAAATGCATTTTTACATTTCTCATTATAGTTTGACACAGTCAAACGTGTTAAGAGACACGTCAAAATGGTCTGAAGTAAAAATAAAGGAAATTAAATGATCTTTCGAACGGCACCATTGGTTTTATGATAGGACTTTATTTACACGCCTCATACAGAACAAAAACTGCAAATAGATCTAATTTAGACCACTCTCCCCTATTATAGAATTAAATGTACTTTAAGGATTATAACTATTTAGTTTATACTTTTATGCAATTTACTCTATAGCTGTTTAATTTATCAAAATTATCTTTTGTTCAATCGATTGAATAATAATTAGCGCGTAATCGTAATCAAAATTAGTTAAATATTTCGGCAAGATCGATCGTTCTCTCTCTAAGTAGAGGCGGAAATGTCGGCGCACGTGCAGAAAACGGATGACCTAGATGCCTAACGAAATAATTATAATCCTGAGGAAGCGGAATAGGCAATGCGACGTTTACAGGGTTAACCCACGATGGGCTTAAGAGGTAGAGAAGCCGAGGAACGTCATCTACGTCGAATTTAATTTTCTGCTATTACGAATACACATAATCACACGCACACAAACACACACACACACACACACACACACACACACAGAATGAGCAATACGTTACGCATGCGTTACGCGTGCGTTACGCATCGCGACTTTGCTTATGTGCTTGTGTACGAGGGAGGAGCGGGATAACACACACGGGTCAACAGCCTTCGACAACCTTACGGCCTTCTGCAACCTCTCTTTCCTTCTTCCCTTCATCCACCATCTTGGTTTTCTGATTCTCGGTCGATCGGACATCGACGTTCGTCACTATTAAATTTATAAGAAGACTTTCCGTGGTGAAAATTATATCTGCAGCATGTAAACAAGCAAAATATATCGAAAACGAGAAGACATTTTCTTATCAACGATGTATTTACATATTATCCTTTAATTTATATGCGAATTTTATTGCACTCTTATTTTGTAGTATATTTCTCTACTAAACGTGAACAAAAATTTGATATTATATGTATATTGTATACGCTTAGTTAGATAAAATTATATAACTTCTTTTAGTATTAAATTTGAGTAATTGATTATTGAGTATAATAATGACGATCACTTTTAAGGAAATATTTCACCTCTTAAGCTACTATGACGCAGTTTATATAAGATTGTTATGCTACAATTCTTTTTATTAAGAAAAATGATTTCGATTTGGGCAATTTCATTTCGGTAGCTCCTATCTCATATATAACCGCAGATTTTCTTGTATCTCCGAAAATTGGTTGAGCCATTGCGCTTTTATAGTCAATTTGAGGAGTGCCCTTCAACTGCGGGGAACATCTGTCGATGGCGTCGTTGCGTCCAATATTGGTCGTAGAAATTAATGCTGGGGCGTAGAATGGCGTCACGGAATAATAGTTGTTTGCACGAGAGTGCGAACACCCTCCTATTGTCGTTTGGAACGATAGCAGAAATTGAGGGGGTTCACATAATAAATTTGGAAGTTTCCCCTTTTTTTTATCTCTATAGTGAGATACGATATTCAAAAGATGCTAGACTCTTGACAAAGTGCTACTTTTATATTTAAGTGAATATAAGGGTAAGATGAGTACTTTATTTTGTAGTGACAAGTCAATGACCATAGTACGAGATTGGAGCGCGCTTATGCGTGTGACGTGCGACTATCACGTTTTAAAAATCACTATCAAGTATAATTATTTACTGCAAAATTTGATTAGTCACACGTAGAACAACTCTATATTAGAGATTTATGAAATTTACTTCTTCAGATTTATTTATACAATAACTTTTAACGCAAGTTATTTAAATGTACGTTCTATTATGAAATTTTTCACAAATAAAAATCTAAACATTTATATAGAGAATATGTAATGTCTACATAACGCGATCGATTTTTTAATTGGAAAATGTTTTTATCGTCGTTACAGCTTCGGGAAGCGGACGGGCGGCAGTGCCAGGCGACCCAATGAATGCTTCGTCCTTGAGCCCTCCGAGATGATTGTCGTGAGTAAATCTTTGCTTGGTATTTACGATAAGTGAGATGGAAGAAGAAATGCGAGAGAGAGAGAGAGAGAGAGAGAGAGAGAGAGAGAGAGAGAGAGAGACTGCGGCTTGGATCGTTAACGCTTTCGAGAAAGTTTAGCCACAAAGGAATGCTTTATTTATTCAGTTTTATGAGGGAACGTTTCTGCACACAAGCACACTCACAATCGGTTTCAATCAAAACTGGGCGAGCAAGCGCAATTTTTTTTTTCTGGTTGGTTTACCGCGGAACGCGAAACAGTAGTGGCGAGATATTCTCAGAGTGCTATGCTATGCGAAGTGCGGTATAAGCGGTAATATCGTACACGGCGAAAAGACAATGCTCTTCGGACGCGCGAGACAGAACGTGGCGGACAGTTAATCGATAGTTTCTCTCTCGGCATTATACTCAGGTTGAGAAGAGAGTTTTGGAATCCCCCGTCACGCTCTCGTATACTTAGCTCGCTTTATTTCGTTTCCAGCGGCGGTCGATTCTCGATGTGCCGACCGAAATTAGGGCAAAGTTTTATACATGCGAGACTGATGATCACGAACTTTTTGGTGAAAACTGCTTTTTTTCTCAAATCATGTATCTCTAATTGTAAGATCTTTCTTTGGAGCATACGACCTTTAAACGTTCGCAGAGTATTTTGCAACAGAAATGTTTAGAAATTTTGAGCTGAATGAAAGAAAGACGTCGATAATCGAGATAAAATTTAAATATATTTTATTATTATTTTTCTTTATTTTGTATAGAATCTTTCAAAAAATACATTTGTACGTTAATAATTATTTTTAATATAAATAATTAAATAAATCTTGATTGGAAATAAAACAAGTGAATAATATATAATTGAAACAGTGTTTTTCAATTTTTTCTATAAAAAGAAAAGTGGAATTTGTAGTACGTGGTATTTCCTTTCGGACTTTTTTTCGCTTCGTGCGTTTTTATTAAATCATCCATGAAAATGTGAAACGACTATTTCGTAAGCCAGGTTTAATTTCGTTTGTAGTCTCAACATTAATTGCAGCAGAGTTACGCGGAATGTTCTGATATTACAGGTGAACTTTGTTCGTTCATACCAAGTTTGTTAGAAACGCTGGTTTGCGCCTCTAATTACACTGTGTGGACAAAAATTAAGTTTTTGATTCGAGCTGCCATCTATAACTACGTTTTAAACTGTTTTACCGACAAATTGCGTGACACTACTTGCTGATAGTCGATTAAGCTGTATTATGATGATAATAATTTATGTTAAAAAATAATTATAAAAAATAATCATGAAAATATTTTTTCTGTGGTACTAGCATATTTATAACGAAGTTATATTTTTTTAACATTATCATTTATTATAATTTTTCTTTTTTCTCTTTATATACAGATTATCTCTTATGCGTTAGTAATTCTATTACACTATATTCAATATATTACAATATTTATTAAAAAAGAAACTTTCTTAATGTGTAATGTAGCTTTTTTAAAAAAAATATAATATCTATTTTTTAATCTTTTATTCTCACATACAATTTATAAAAGAAATTTTTTTAAATCTCTAATTTAATATTATTAATTTTTTAAATCCCATAAAATTTATAAAAAATTCTAGTTTTATAAATTTTTAAATATATTCGATTTGTGTACTTGTAACAGAAGAGTGTAGATTCTATGGTCTGTTGAGTTGAACTGGTTTAGTTCTGCATTTAATATCAATCACATTCGGCTTTCAATTTACGCGCCTGGCTTACTCGAATACAATTTGTATTAATCAACGCATTCTATACCGAATTTTGCTCTCCCCGAGATAATTTACCAATGGTTACATCGCATGTAATAACCACGCATATTGTGTCCCGCCGCATTGAACTTTGAAATTCCGCAGCGCGAAACATGCATTTCACCCGAGCTGTTATTTCGAAACGTTAATTATAAAATTTATTCACTTCCGCGGCAGGCTCAACACGGACTCCCCACCAATCGTGGAATCTTTCTCCATCGATATTGTTCTATGTGATAGAAATAAAATAACACAGTTTACTATAGAATTTGATAACACAGTGTAGTTTGTCTTTATGTTTACCGTTTATTATCTTGTTTCATTTATTTTATTTCAAGAAAAGGTCACATTAAAAAATTCAATCGAATGCAAATCAACCATATTTCTGGAAATATAAAATATGAATGATTTCTTTGATTTATTTAATTTTTCTACACGCGCACTCGAGATCGATATTATAATTTTATAATATAATTTATCGATGAGGATATTTATCGATGAGGATTTTTATTGTAAGGATAGCAATACATTTATCGGTTTTGACATATTCCGGGCACGTGTTTGCCGACGAGTTGAATTTTTTTTTCATGCAATGTCAGAAAAAATATCGACAGTAACATGGCAGGTACACGCGAGTTCACGTGTGTCCTCGGGCGACTCTGTGACCTGTACGCGAATTGGACGTCTGACCTTTAACCTTCCTCCCGTGATATCGTGGCACTTTATCCTTGCCATCGCTCCGCTCACACGCACGCGCCATCCGAGAGCTCATTGTGCGGAATTTCATCGTCGGCGCTTGACGCTTCGAATGAAGATTAATCATCACCAGCAGGGATCTACTATGTCGCACTCTAATGCTGACAAAAAGTAAAAACTACGTAAATACGTATTTTACGTATGGATGTTCAAAGCGGATATTTCTCTCTTAAAGTCGGATTCGTCGATTAATTATATTTTAAAGGTATCGTTTCTTAAATGTCAGAGGATCAACAATCCGAGTTACAAAGAACCGAGAATAAATCTTTCGAAGAGTCTTCGTGTTATTTTAGTCGCGCGAGTTGTTTTCTTTCCACTTTTTTCTTTCCACTCAATATTTATTTGTGCAGCCGACGAATGAGAGTTATTAGTGCTAAGCCTAAGAAATGCTATTACTTGTGTTGCTTGAAGGACGTAAACGGAGCATTGCATCGTGCCGGACATTAATTGCATAACCGATCTCTCGGGTACATCTTTCGTTTTGATTCGTTCTTGCAACGTTTTCAAGAAGCTTATCTTCAATGACAAAACAACGTCGCCGTCTGACACTGCGTTTACTACATAAATCGTCTTTGTTTGTTGTAGAACTCGATCATTGCGACTCATTTGCACGCAAAAAAACAAGAGAAACACCATTAACAGATTGAAAAATCGTAAACAAATAATTGCCCACACACTTAATGTTATTAATATTTTTTTAATTTTAAGTAATTATCATTCAAGTGTATTAGTTCCGCAGGCGTGTCTTGTATTTTAATTTTATTCACGTTTATTGGTTTCTCTCGTCTTCGAAACAAATAGAATGCGACCTTTTTGTAATCGTTAAAAATTTCAATTATACGCGCTGTGCGCACATTTGTGAAATATAAAAAAAGAATATCATTTCATTAAAATTATGGGAGCGACGACGATCGATCGGTGCTCGCAAAAATTGTACGTCTATTATGCTTCAGAAGAAGTCATGTTGCAGATTCTTTTTATCGGAGAATAATGATAATTAAAATGGACTTATCGGTAATTTTTATTGTTCGTTGTATTGTTTGTAAATCGGAAGTAAATTATCATTTATTATGTTTATGTCTTGGGAAGCAACGAAATTTCTCGCACGATGATATCGCTTTTCACGTGGACGAAAAGTTATAAGGAAAATCTCTTATTTACGCGAAAAAGAACACGCGCATCGGCGAGGTCAATTTCCATAGAAAAACCGATAACCGGAGGCGAATTGATCATTACGGCTGCCGTATATATACGGAACGAACAAATACGGAAACTTCGCTTCTACTGGAGACCAACAAGTTACAGCTATAATACCGCTGCGCGGCGAATAATCCGCTCAACAAGCATTATTCTGTTTCCGATCGCGTACATTTCTCTCGCTTTACCGTGCAAACCGTCACTAGTGCTCTTCAATAAAAAAAAAATATCCTTTGTGCATTTGCAAAAAAAAAATAGAGAAAAATACGTTACAATGATAGATGGAATAGAAAAAAATTTACACACGATTGCAATATTATTATTAATTTCCGTACCGATCTTTACATATACATATACCAGAGTTGCCACAAGTCGGGGAAATCAGGAAAATGACAGGGAATTTAAAAAAATGCGTCAGGGAAGTCAGGAAAAGTCAGGGATTTAGCACACTTATCAGGGAAATTTCAATAGCTGTAGCTGTACATTGTTTGTTTTTACGCTTTGCCGACATCTTTTGAGAACCCTGTTTTTTTTTAACCCGATTCCTCCAAACAATCAGTATTTGTGCGCTATTGTTCGAAAAAACACGAAACATTGGTAAGTATGTATCATTCGAGGTCAGGGAAATCTCAAAATTTTATCAGTAAATCAGGGAAATGTCAGGAAATTTTACGATTACAATTTTGTGGCAACCCTGATATATGTGCACGTTCCGTGTACCCAATTATGCAGTTAATACGAATTACGATCTTTGTTCCACAATTATTTCTCATCGACTCGTTGTCAGATGTAACGAGTTCGCCAAGCCGACACAGAGATCGAGTAGAGTGTGCAATAAATTCAAGTCCATCAATAATGTAGTTGCATTATAAATATAGAGTCACGAGAATATTCGATATAATAAATAATATATACGTACGCACATTTATGTAAGAGAATCGCAACGAACGATGCCACATCTGCTATGCGTAAGCGCGCCTTCGAATAAAGATTCATTACGGGAATCTCTGCGTACAGGAAGTTTGAATATAATCGGAGTCGTGACTCGTCATGATATTACTCAGATTTCAGCTTTATCTCCAGACTCTTTTTAACACCCGTTGCTATCTCCACGAAGGGGCTTTTCTGCAGAATATTTATACGCAACGTGTACTTAGCGTTAAATTCACAGCTACTTAATATTCATGCAACGTTGAATGAGATTTTCATATTAAACAAGTAAAACTTGTATAAAAAACGACCTGACTTAATTTT